TTGACAAGTTTCAAAATGAACTTGATCATAATTTTTGTAGTCGTTGTACTGCATTGCTTATCGAATTTCGTTCTTGGAGCAGGTAATACTATAACAAAAGGTAAGATAAATGTTTCAAAATAATTATCCCTAACTTTCGTAAAACGATTGAAAAAAAACATTATAGAATTTTTCTTTTTTAAATATATTCATACAAGAAGACAGAAGTGTGCGGTCCAGGGGATTACCTGTCGATCTCTGCAGTAGTTGGCTGACGGGGCACGACGATTGTCCTGCACTAGACGATTCAGGGCGTGAAAAGATAAGCAGAGAACGAACGATGTACGCATATTTTTCATAAGAACCGTGATGAACTGTCAGCAGATGGAATTATTCTTCATATTCGGCATGCGATGCATACTGATCGATCATTTTATCAATCTATAGAATGCAAATTCGTTCTCGTTCTGTTCTTAAATCCTTTTTCCCCATGGCTCTGTGCGTGGCAAAAATGAGAAAAAATTATGATTGATTTGTTTTTGACTTGACTTATGTCACCTCCATGCTTCATGCGCTGTCTTCAATGATTGTAACACTTGACGTATCAACTGATGAATCGATTTATATCTCATTGTTATTGGAAGCTACTCATTTCCATTCAAATACTACTACTTAGCTTTCTCCATGTTTCATTGATATTTTCAAGTACAATACATCGAATACTAAGATATTTCTTAAAGAGCAACTAGAAAAGTATATGCTCATTAACAACAGTACTAAATTGAGCCATTTCAAACCGTCCCTGTGCTGCTCTCGATTCGTTCTTACAGCGATGCAGGATAAAAATAATTTCAATATCATTATCATTCAAAAATTGAAGATGTTGGTGTGATTGTGAATGCAACTGAGAGTCAAAGTCTCTACCACCAACTCATACCCACGTTCATTCTCATCCACATCTCGCAGTTTCTTCGATGAGTAGCTTGTAAATTTTGCTATGCCAGATGTTCATTAAAAATGTTTTGCTATATTATTCATAATAATTTCTTGAAAAAAATAAACTGCCATTATAAAGTAAAGTTTTAGAGAAATCGGAAAAAAGATGGGAACAGATCTCCATAAAACCAATGGCACTAATGAGCGACACGAATATGATTTGAAAATTAGGCCACAGGAGTGGATAATCTAAATCTGCGGAGCTGAAAACTCTCATGCCTCGCACAGTTCTCCTAGAGAACTAGGTAAACAATGAACATATTCACATTTATAGGATAGCTAAGATTTCTCTTAAATGAAATTTATGTCAGTTATTTCACAAAAAGATTTCAATTCACAACGAATAAGCTGAGATATAAATACCTTATTTCACTTAACTTCTTCAAGATTTAGCAGTAGGATTACACCGGAGAGAAGATGCTGGATATGAAAATCATCATCAAGCATGATCTTTTTGTGTATTTCAGGTTACAATCATCCTGGTGGAATGCATCCCAAGCATCAGATTGACTTTGTAAAGCTGCAAGTGTCTAGTAAACAACAACCATATTACGATGCATATCGCCAACTTATCTCCTATGCGGATGCAGCGTTCAATCATACTACTCATGCTCTAGCTGATTTTGCTGTTCCTGGTTACTACATCGATCCAGTATTGCATCAAAAAAATTCGGCTGGTCTTCAATCGGATGCATTTGATGCGTATGCCTGTGCATTGGCCTATTGGATAAGCGATGGTCAATTCAAATATGCCAACCAATCAATACGATTTTTAAAAGCATGGGCCGATTTAAATACGAAGTATTCTGATTACGACGGTAGTCTTGTCATGGTCTATTCAGGCACAGCAATGGTTATGGCTGGCGAGCTACTTCTTAACTACGATGGCTGGGATCATATTGACAAGGAAAAATATTTACAATGGGTGCAAAATGTTTATTTAAAAGCGTCAAATGAAATTAGATTGCGAAAAAATAATTGGGGCGATTGGGGTCGCTTTGGCTCGATTTTATCTGCTCATTTGTTTTGTTCAATGCCGAGGAAATAGCTGAAAATATCCGTTTAGTCAAAAGTGATTTGTTTCATAAAATTGCGCCTGATGGTCACATGCCCGAAGAGACTTCGAGAGAGGCAAATGGAATTTGGTATACGTATTTTTCTCTTGCACCAATTACAGCTACATGTTGGATAGCCTATCAGTCGACAGGCGAAAATCTATTTACCAATTATACACAGAGTAATTCGTCAATCAAGCAAGCGCTTGATTATTTGTATTACTACAGTCTTCATCCCAATGAATGGCCATGGTTCGTAAATCCTAATAAGGGATCGCCGACTTCATGGCCTGGCAATCTACTGGAAGCTATGTCATCTATTTATGGAGATAATCATTACGTCGATTATGTAAAATCTTCACGACCATTAATCTATAGTAAACATCATTTTGCCTGGACTTTTCCTACCTTAATGACTGTGAAATTGGGAAATTATCAGTAGTTTACTATTTAGAAACATAAAACCGATTGGAATTTGTGTCTATCTAAGTAATACAATATATTAAAATAAAACGACATATACTTTATTGAATAACCTTTGAAAAGGTTGCAATAAATCAGGCATGTGTTAGATATTACATATTAGGGTATGGATGGGTGTAGTTGGATATCAATGTGAGTCAGAAAAAGCGAAACAGAATCGGATCGAATCAGATTGAGATGGCTCACTAACTTATACTATAATTTAATTATTCATTGATGCGTTACGTAATTTTTTGATAAACGTTTATTGACAACAACAGTACAAACAGTCTTGCTTTATGATTAATTACATAATAGAAATATATTTTAATTTTTTAAAGATACACATGTATCAGTAAACCAACGTACCTATCCGCTATTATTGATATTGTTCATTGATGTCTGCTCATTTCTTCTTTTTCACCTGTTTTATTTATTGCCTTTGAATGAAGAATTTTTACTAAAACAAGCTTCTATGCTTTTATTGTAGTTTTTTTTTACTAATTTTCGTAGCAATTAGTTCTTGTTCGTCAAATTTATCAAGATGCACTCAGTTTTTGAACTTCCCATTGTTCTAGGAATAGTCATAGCCTTATTCTAGAGTTCATTAGTATCAGAACTTTACGAGTAATTGTATTCTATAAAATCTGCATTCTATCACACTTATTTGATAAAGCTAAATGATGATATAGTCTGTATAGCTATATCATAGAAAATAAAGGCGATAAGAAAAAAAGAAAAATCAATAGCTTATGCAAAAAGGAACAGCAAAACATATATAGCAAATAAGATGTACAAAAATAATAGAATTATTTTTATTCTTAATATTAGTCAAATCGAATCTGAATGAAGGCTTTCTCATTTGTCTCATTCTCTGGTGTGAGTCCGGAAGACGGTCCATACCTTAATCTATCTGTACCTTCAAAAACCTAATATGTAGATTTTCCATTTCATAAAAAAAGTTTTGATTATCATTTTCAGATATCGATGCAGAAGTCATTCATGAATACATTAGAAGACGAATCAGTGAGAATGAATATACTGTGTACTGAAAAGCAATAACTTTGTTCTTTGTTGTTGTAATAGAAATGAAAATTAGAATTCATTTTTAAGTAAGGAATATTTCAAAGTGTTACGCATGATGACGAACAAAATTTTCCCAAGCTAAATTTTATCTAAATTTAATATTGTCTGTCATATATATACGTTTGAATTACAAAGCCAAGTTGAATCGAACACTAGTAACAACTTGCTCAATTTTGTGACAGTTTGTTAAATCGAACCCAATTGTATATAACTCTTACTTTTTGTCAATAATGTACCGATCAAACGATTATTCGACATATCTTATTGAAATTCTTTGAGAATTAACTTTATAATTAAAGAAAAACAATTTAAAAAAAACGGATGTACGTACAGAATAAGTACTTATATTTTTGATTAATTCGAAACTATGATGGAATCATCATAATTTATCATTTAACAGCAATGTCATTAGTTTGAATTGATGTCACCAATAAAGAAGCAAAAATCAATTTACCTAACACCGCTTAAAATTAATGGACGATCCGTCACGAAAGGTTGGAGTGTGGTTATGAATGTTGAATGTACCGTGTTGTTGGATGCAGAGCAGATTCACAACAACACTTACACACGTTTGAATTGTTATTATGATTTGCATATATTATTTATCTTCAAGATTCTATTCAATGATGCTCATGGCAACTACAAGTGATTGCAATTTCTATGTTTTCAGAGTGTGGGTGCAGTATTCTGCGAGACCGACTTTTCTCCTTTCTCGATATCAAAGTTTATTAACGTTCAGTTAAGAGAATTATTTTCTGTCACAAATCGAACGATCGAAAAGAGAGTAAATACTTGGATATCAGCAACATCAAAAAAAAAACAAAAATATTCAAGGGAAGAATTTACTAATAATTATATATTGCGAAATAATCTGCATAGTCGTTTTCTCAAAAATGATAATCACAAAGAAAATAATAATCGTAATAATCGAATCGCAAATTAATGAATACAGAATAAATTTTATCTCATTTCTGTTAATAAGTATTTGTTTTGTTTTTCTTTTGACTAATAAGAAATACAAAAGTCTCTAGAAGAATGTCAAAATTTATTTGTCAACAATATAACATCGGATTAATTTCGACATTTTCTTTGTTTTTTTGAAAGAAGAACGTTTGGAGTATATAGTTGATTTATGCTGTGCGAGAGTATTCTTTCTATTTATCATAAAAAGAATCGTTTCGATACCCGAAAAGGTTTATTCAACAATCATAATCACTTTAGTGCCTTCATGACATAACTAGAATAAAATGTTAGATAGAGCTAAAAGTACTATATCTAGAAGGTAAATTTAGAAAAATTTCCATTAAAAGAATATTTTAAAACCCTTACGGACTTAGATTTTTTTCTATGTCGAAACTTTTACGAAACAACTATTCCAGTAGAGTGAACAGCATGAAAGAGAATTTTCTTATCGATCAAATAACCAAAAATGAATTTCCACTTAGATGACAAAAAAAAATAATATAGATTGAAAAACTCTACTCAAAGATAAGTTTAACCCAGGGTTTGGGAAATTCCATCATAATAAAGCGAAAGTAAAAGTTTTAATTATGTTGGTCGGTACCTTGTATCGAAATTTTGCTCTTTCAAGCAAAAATAATTCAGATAGATCTTATATTCAACTATTGAAAGATGAATCTCAACACTTTTTAATGACTCGTGGATGGCTTATTATGTATAAGAATAGTTCTCAATAATAAAAATTTGTTACATAAAAATATCTAAATCCATATTAAAAACAATGGTTTTCGAGAACACCCATTTTTTTAATGTTATTCTCGCTAGATAAAAGTACTGCAAGAGATGCACATGCGACAGAGACAACTTACATGTAGAAAAGATAGTGTTATTAGATCTATAAATGAATAGAACTGCATGAATTCGGATGAACAGTCGCAAATACAAAGAAAACTATAGTTGAGCATTGTGGATGATCGCTCAGTAAAAGCTACAGAACCAAAGTTAATAGAGTAGACTCATCCAAGACTAAGTCTTGAATAGACACTCAGCAACTACCGATGCGTGGCAACAATGCAACTTTCACATGTTGAACACACTAGATAATCTTTTGTCTGAAATTCAATTTTAAATATTGCTCACTCGAATACTAATAAAAACACTCTGAGCAACTCTCGATACCATCCAATTTGTAGTTAATGTCAATCGATACAATATAAAGTTTTATAACTATGAGACCTGATTCACAGTCATTTTTTTTTCAGGAAAACTTTGGATCTACAATACACACAATGTAGTATCTTATTTCAAATACTGTTCCTCGTAGGCAACTTGTTGAAATTTTCATCTGAAGCTTTTCGAACGTGTCCTCAAATATCGAAATTTGATTCAGCACTTTGTTCAGCTTGAACATATTCAAAGTGTTCGTTGAAGTCAAGATCAAGATTTCTTAACACTATATTTTGAGTTAATGGCAAGTCAGATATTGAGTACTCCGTTTTCCAACGGTATGAGCAACACAAAGATATTCTTCATCAGTAATTTGATTTTCACATAGATGGAGCTCAGTCAATGTTCTATTCATATACAATGCTGCAGTGATATGATTCGCATCTCTATCCGAGATGTGGTTATCATTGATACATCTATCATATTTGTCACGAAAGAAAAACTTATTAGTCAAATTTCCACGTTAAAGAATTTTCATGTAGAGAATAATTTTTCTAAAATTCTTTCGAATTCAAGCAATTTCCGTCTCCACGCGTGAGTGGTACACATGTAGATACCGCAAGTTTGATATCAAACCAATATAATTTATTATTTGGAATCAGAAGAGAAACTCTTTGTTAAAAATATACGGAACCAATTATGTAGTTGTGATGAATAATTGCTTTTGTTTCTAAAAAATAACTTTGATGACGATGTACAATGGAATATGAAAGATGTTTAAGAAGCGATTATAGATATTCCTTTAAAAACATCTGTAAAATATTGTTTACGAAAAGATTTTTTTATAGTTAATGATATAGAGTGAAATATATTTGGTTGAAAGAAAAAAATTTTAATTTTTACATCGGTTCTGTTAAGAGTGAGGTTATTGATACTAATAGCTGCACTCACATCCAAAACATAAGATAAATATGTCATACACAAACTTTCTTTTTCGTTCAAATAACATGTACACTGGTCCTAAAATGCTATACAAATGAAAATCCTTAGCATAATTGAATTGATTTGTCGCCAATATGAAAAGATGTCAACAATCTTTAATCGAATAATGTTTCCGAATTCATATTTTATTTCAATTCAAATTTGAATTATTGGTAATAAAGCTTTTGCTGAGCTTCCAAACGAAAGAGTTACTCCTACGAAGATATTCACCAATTTATCATTTAATAATCAACATCTATACATGAAAAGCGTATTTTCATTGGATCATTTTGGTTTAATGACTGCTTTTGGTTGGTTTGAGACATGTTTAAGAAACTAACTCGTAGAAATCTATTAATCTATAATCAACCACATAAGTAAATCATCAATGAAACACTTCGAATGTATATTTACGAATGAAAATAGATAGAGAAAGAAAAATATTCATTGCAAAGAACAAATGTTGATAAAGTTGTTTTTTTATGTACCATATTTTGTTCAACTCGTATGTAACACACAAAAGTGAGAAAGATATGTACTCAATCTTTTTTTTTGAGATTTTGTAGATTGTTTAGAAAAATATTGAAATAATGAGCGTCAGTGAAATTATTTCAATTTACTCCACTGCACTTTGCTTTTATTATGAACTCGAATATTCGATTCTAGAATCGATCACGCATGAATTATCGTTCATTCTTCGGTTTAATTCAAATTCCACGATTGAATTCACAGATCAATCTACAATTAGCGCAGTATCTCCCTTTCATGATAGTATACAATCAAAAAACACATCGTACACATTTCAAAGTTACATATTCTTCAATGACGATATTAATGACTAAAATGAATAATAGTCAGCATTTTTTCAAGTAATTGATGCTAATTCTACTAATTTTTCATTCGATTGGCTACTCAAACATGAGACCTCTCGACTTGCTTTTTGTAAAACTTGCAAAATCAATTTATTGATCACAAAAATAAATCGTTATGTGTTTGAAGAACACCACGATGCGTATAAAGGTGAAAAATAAGTAAGAAAGGAAGAGTGGATTGATATTACACAAGAACAGAGCATGATTAATAGTATGACACATCTTTATTATACAGTCTCTTCACGTTGTAAGAGAAACGATATTTTTTTTTGTACACATAAACAAATTATAGTTGGAAAAAAAAACAACCATTTTCTTTCAATGATGTATGCATCATACAGCCGATCAATGTGCACATTTGAATATCATCACTCATTCTACTAGTCTCATCATAAGAGGTAGGAAAAGTCACATGAGCAAGAATTGATGGTGTTTTGTTTTTTTGTAATTCGAGTCCTGTACATTTTGATGTTGGAGACAACTCTTATCTAGTTCTATTATCGAGGAGGAAAGTATGTTTTGTGATTCTTTAATATTTTCTTGAAATCCTGAGTCTTACACAAATGTTAAAAAATATATTTTCACCATGCTTGAGTCTTTTTTGTAATTGTACTTCCAAGTTTATTTTTTGTTAATTATTGTTTGTTAAATACAAATCTCTAGACAAAAACGTCTCCCATGGTTTTCTAAAATATGCCATCATTAGTATTACATTAGGTTTTTAGAGAATTAATTAGATATATTTATTGTGCTCGTCAATTATCTAAACACTTCTCTAATATACGTTTTGCATCAGGTTGTGAAATATTTAAGATAATGATTGAGACCAAAATCTTTTTTTCTTGTGACATGTATTTCAATTTGAAAAATCATTCAGATCTTTCTTGAAACGTTCAGAACAATAATTTGCTTCAATTGAAATCTATCGATTGTTCTTCTAACAGATGCATTTTTGACAGTGGTATTTCTTGTGTCTTGAAAATTTAAGGCTTTTTTCATTATTGAAAGATTTAAAATCGATTGTTTTCATATTGAAGTGCCTGTTTCACGTCTCAATTGAACAACTACTTTAATACTAGCAACATCCTTTGCAATACATTTCATTATTTTCAAAAATTCATCAGAAATAATGGACAGAATTGACAACAAAGAGGACATCACTCTAATTTGGTTTGATTCAAAAATGGAATCCAATAACCATGCAGAACAAACAAAGAAACAATTAGGTCAAATCAATGATTATGTTGTATTATATAATCAACTCGAATCTTGTATTAGTTTCATTCACTCGATTCATAATGAAAAAATTATTTTCGTCTCTTCAATTTCTGATACATTACAAATATTATCTCATATTGTAAGTCTACCTCAAATCGACAGCATCTTTGTTTTCAATGAAGAAAAAGTCAATAATGAGCATTTAGTTCTTGAACAATCCAAACTTATAGGCATCTATGATGAACTTGATCTATTGTGTTTATCAATCAAAGAACAAATCAATTTCCTCGACCAACATTTACAAACATTTAGCTTCTTCGATCAACATGAACATTTCACAAAGGATCTCTCAAAACAAACTGCTGATCTTCTTTGGTTTCAACTTTATCATGATGTCCTTTTTGACTTAACACACGACAAAGAAGCTAAACAAGAAATGATCGATGTTTGTCGTTCCTATTATCGAGACAATATCAAAGAATTGGAAATGATTAAGAAGTTTGAAAATGAATATCGATCAGAAGAAGCTCTTCAATGGTATCTGGAAAAATCATTTCTCTATAAAATGATCAAAAAAGCATTAAGAACCAAAGATTTTGATCAACTCTTCACATTTCGGTATTTTATGAAAGATTTAATAGAAAATCTCGTTCGAGAACATCAAAGTATGGTTCAATTTGGTAAAGAAATACTATTCATGTATCGAGGAATGAAATTGACAAGTGATCAAATCGAAAAATTCAAAAAGAACGAAGGTAAACTTGTTTCAATTAATGGATTTTTCACAACAGCTATTCTTCGTTCAACTGCATTGAGCCAAATGATAAAACCTTCAAAACAAACTGATCTTATTTCTGTTCTCATAGAAATTCAATATGATTTACAACACATGAGCAACAGTGTCATCGTTGCTGACATTATTCAATTCAATGAAATTTCATGTGAAGACCAACAAGAAATTCTTTTTGATTCAAATATCACTTTTCGATTGGAAAGTGTGAGAATGGAAGAAGACATGTATGTTATTGCGATGAGTGCATCAAATGAAGGTCAACTTATCAAAGATAAATATATCCAAGATTCACGTCGCCAGATGGAAAATCTAAGTATCAGAATTCTCTTTGGGCGATTGATGTGTGATATGGGTCAATGGAAACAATCACAACATTTCTTTGAACATTTATTGAATGATTCGAATAATAACAATGAAGATCTCGCAAAGGTTGAATGTAGTCTAGGTGAGGTTCTTCAATGGACAGGTGAATGGAGTGAAGCACGAAAATATTACAATCGTGCTTATGATCGAATGATGAATATAAAACCAACACGGATCAAGGATTTAGCTTATATACTTTTCAATATTGGTGAGATTCTCTATCTAGAAGGAAAATACGAAGAAGCTCGTGATTATTATGAACGAGCATTGGCAATGCAAAAAGAAACTTATTCTTCTAGTAAGAATAATAGACCATGCCTACCGAATCACCAAATTAATAGTGTACTGAGTAATGTTCGCTCGTCATTCTGGCCAATTTCATTGAATTCTAGTAGAGTCGTTCAAACGTATTACCGATGGTACTGTACTACAAAGTTTCGACGAATTTCCCGGTGGCATTGCACTACTAAATTTCGACGAATTTTCTTTCGGTTCTCATCAAAATATACAGGAAACAAAATGAGAGATATCAGTAAACAGTTGGCTGACAGACATTTGGTAGACATATGTCGAAACATACAGGCAACTGATTTGTTGCAAACGGACCGAATTAACCAAGATAGTGATGTGCTTATTGCTAGTAGTCTACGTAGTTTGGGAAAAATCCTCCTTCGGCAAGCCAAGTATGACGAAGCATTTATCTTTTATCAGCAAGCACTAGGAATGTTTGAAGAATATTACCGATCTCCTCATATCGATATTGCTGTTACTCTTATGTACATTGGTCAGGTTCTCACATATAAGAGAAAGTACGATGAAGCTCTTGATTTCTGTCAACGAGCGATGACAATCTATGCAAGATATTATCCGAATGACCATGTATACATCGCCTCGACTCTCAACCATATCGGTTACATTCTTTATGTCGAAGGTAAGTACGATGAAACTCTGAAGACTCATGAACGAGCATTGAAAATGCTACAAAAATATTATCCGACTGGACATGCCGATATAGCTTGTATACTTTGTGGAATAGGAAATATTTACTATACACAAGAGAAATATGATGAAGCTCTGACATTTCATGAACAATTACTAGAAATGATACAGAAATATTATTTTCCTGGCCATGACAATATTATTTGTACTTTAAACAACATTGGCTATATAAAAAAGGAACAAGGAAAGCTTGATGAAGCTCTTGATTTTCATCGACGAGCACTAGCACTTCAAGAGGAATATTATCCATCTTATTATGCACGCATCGCTGACACTCTGAGTTACATTGGTATTGTTCTTCTTGAACAAAAAAAATATGATGAATCCTTGAGGTTTCATGAACGTGCACTCGAAATGCAAGAGAAATATTATCCAAATGGTCATGTGGACATTGCGACAACTCTCAGTCATATTGGTACAACATTTCATAAACAACAAAAATTTGATAAAGCCATTGAATATCATCAAAAAGCATTAGATATTCAAGAGAAACATTATTCATCAGACAGTATCTTCATAGTTGATACCATCAATCGTATCGGTCGTATTTTGTGCGATGAAAAAAAGTATGAGGCAGCAATGAAATATTATCAAAAGGCACTTTCAATGCAAGAGCATTTTTATCCTGATGGTCACATTGAAATTTCTCGTACTTTCAACTTCATTGGTAATAATCTATATGATCAAAAGAAGTACGACGAAGCACTTCAATTTCATCAAAAAGCCTTGACTATTCAAGAAAAACATGAATATGCTCATGTCGACATCTCGAACTGTCTGAATTCTATTGGTAATGTGCTATATAGCCAAAGAAAATATGATGAAGCTCTGGATTTCTATCAACGATCATTAGCTATTCGAGAGAAATTTCATCCATTTGCTTACGCTAGCATTGCTACCATTCTTAACAATATTGGTTTAGCCTCTTACGGACAAAGAAAGCATGACAAAGCTCTGAACTTCTATCAACAAGCATTAATAATGCGAGAGAAATTTGATGCACATAATTCTGCTGGCATTGCTAATAATCTAATAGACATCGCTAATGTTCTAAGAGATCAAGGAAAGTACAATGAAGCTATCGAGTTCCAACAACGAGCATTGATGATACAAGAACAAAATTATCCTTTTGGTTACGTGAAAATTGCTTATAATTTGAGCAGCATCTCTAATATACAAAGATGGAGAGGTAAACATGAACTCTCTCTTATATATGAACAGAATTGTTTCTGTATGCGTCTCAAAGCTTTGCCATCAGATCATGAAGAAATTGGCCATAGTTTATCAAAAATAGGTGAAATTTATGAAAAACTTCATAATTCTATGTTGGCACTTGATTACTATCAACAAGCATTAGCGGTCTACCAGAAATGTTTGCCTTCTTCTCATTATGATCTAAGAACAATGCAATCAAATATTGAACGACTTTCGGAAGAACTTGAAATAGAATTCGAATAAACATCATTATTATCAGACAGAAGTGTTAATAGAAATATCTTGATAAGAATATAGGGGACTATTGCATGTATCTATTTTCTAACAAAAAATAAAGTCATTTGCCAATAATCTATTGAAAATAAAATCAAGTACATTTTTAATTCAATTAGAAAGACATGGTTTGTGCATTAGGTTTTCTAGTAAGTCCATAGAACTAATCACAATTCGTATATGGTTTACATTACGTGCTTTCAAAAATGTACACACATTCGAAAAAAATTTTGAACATATTTCAAATACGTATTTGGTGGCAACACTTTGTAATCGAAGTGAACATTTATGTTTCTATCTAAATATTCAAGAGTAAAGTCATTTTTTTCGATTGATCGGTGATTCATTCACACCAAAAATGTGTGCGTAAATAACGCCTGCTTTCATTCTAAGCCGATGTTTCTTTATATAAAATCAGAGCTAAATCAATGCTTTTTTTTTTGTTTTTATATTGATTATTATTTTGTAAATAAGACAAGAATACAAAAAAACATTAGATTCGACTGCATATTATTTAAAGTTTTCAATGTCGACCTATTGGGTGTGGATGTGGGTGTGAGTATGTGGTGTGGGTGTGGGTGTGAGTATGTGGTGTGGGTGTGGGTGTGAGTATGTGGTGTGGGTGTGTGTGAAGATGAGGAGACTCAATACACTCACACCCCACACCCCACACCCACACCCATAACATGTGGAAGAGCGTAAGAGGAAAATGTTTTTACTACGTCACTCCTGTGTATTCTTCAGAGAAAAACTCACGAATATTGGGACGTGGAGGGTAACTCGTCTTGTCCAAACAAAATTGCAGTCTCTATGCAGTAGATATAGGCTGATTCAACCATATTGTCCCCTTCGTGACATTTCTAAAGCAACGACTGAGCTACAAGCTAAAACGATACAGAATACAATAATGAATGAATAAGTAAAGCCAACAATCATTGAAGTATAACCAAAAAGCAGAGACTTGTCCAATACAAATGCCAATACCGAGAAAGAGAAATGAGATCAAAGCAAAGTCTTCTTCTGTAAAATCGACTTGTGTCGTTTTTTTGGATTGGCTGAGGATGAAGCGTCTATTTTACTTACATCAACGCTCATAGTCAATCGAGCAAACAATCAATGGAATATCTCGACAAAAATGGACAGATTATCGTATAGTCGACGACATGAAAAACTACATGGTATTAATTACTAACAAGAAGTTGTATATTGTCGAGAATTGCGGTACTTATCAATGAGTTCCATATATCTGTTAAGATAGTATAATCAAACAAATGGGAAAGTTTGTTAAGTTAAAGACTCTGATAGTATTGAAAAAAATATATTCAGTTTCATTGAAATAGTTTTTGGAGCAATTATCAAAAAAAAAATTTTTTTCGAGAAAGTTCATTAAAAGACTCTTTTGAAAAAGATTGATTATGGTAAAGTTAAAGAATGTCTTTTTTTTACAATATTCTTATCAGTCAATTGATGTCATTCAGTGTATTTTCTTATGATCCTTGTCTAGCATTATTGAAAAGAGTAGTAGTACAACGAATTGTTTGGGTAAGCTGTTCTTTATTTTTCTCCTTGAAGTCGCTGATGATCACGAAGAAAAAAACTCATGCTGTATACCCACGAAATGATCAAAATTATATGATAGCTTTCTTTTCTGTTTGTTTCGTTTCTTAACGAGATGCACATGCGTTGCTTTTTTTTTCAAAATTTATTATGATTTCAAAAAAAGGATTAAGAGTACATATTTATGGAATTACTTTACATAGGAACAAGATAGAGAGTTGTGATTTTTACTGTTCAAAGATATCTGTATCACTGCATAATTTCATGCGGTATTGCAATAATAAATGTTGACTGATGACATCAAATAGTCAGTCATTGGTTTGCAGCAAAATACTGAAAGTTCTATGAAGATGACGTGAAGTTTTTATTGTAGGAAATGTGTTGGATCTGCGTGATCACGATATATATATAAGAGAATCAGAAAGTTCTATCTTGTTTCTGAGTTAGAAAAGCTGGTAAAACTTTTGGCGATATGTATTAAAATCCAAAATCTGACCAAATCTTTTTAGTTTTTGCATTTGAGTATAGACGAATATTTTTCTTAATATACAGTGAAAATTCAAAACCAAAGGTTGGATCGAAATTCTAAACTGCAAAAGCTTTGGTTTGATGTGTACATATTTTGGTTCAGTGACTTTTATAGATTGCATTCAAAGTTTATTTAACCAACGGAAAAATTGATGCTGTGTTTGTTATTAAAATCAAGAGCAGCATATATTATATCAGTTGTTCGAGAAGTTACAGTTACTTATACAAATAAAGGCACCTATCAAACACATATTCAATAATGTCGTCATGATAGGATAGATTTGAAAAAAAAAACAGTTAAAAATGAGTCCCCTTGAACATATTCGTCGATGTACATTCTATAAACATCTTGACATTTGGACGTTATACAAAATCTTTGATAATCATAGTACAATACGAAGTATCACATGAATCTGAAAACAAATGATATACGTGAACGATCGAATATCGATCCTAAAAATATTGCGACACTCATTATGACAAGTGGGACAACAGATGAGATAAAACAAGAAATATATGAAAAATATGTTGATTTTAATTATTAATGGTTTTTGAAAGGCTCGATCAAGAGTATTATGAGTTTTTGGAAAATTATTGCTATGAATACTTTCTCGAACTTGTATGTATTCGAAACAGTGAAAAACTTCAAATAATTTATAAAGTCGACTGAATGCATGGTTTTGATTGGTTTAATCTCACACAAACGAAGGATATAGTATAAATTTCATTGATGTCCAAAAGCAATGATTTCATAAGATTATCATAGTTGTAGAAAGAAATCAACATTATGCTGTTAGGTGTTTCATAAATTAATAATCAAGACTTTCTATATCTCATTTCAGTAGTGTATTCTGTCAGATCTAGAAACAAAGATACCAATTAGTATGACTTTTAGATTTTTCAATGAAATATCTTTTATTGTATAATTTCAATTTATTGTTGTATATACTAGTGCGTCAATGTTTTGATAAATATTCTGCGAAAAAAAAACGAGAATGAGTAACTACTTGAGTACTCATATGTTTGCCTATGAGTAAGTCTCTAAAGAAAAAGTTGTACAAGTATGCATCACAACACACGAAGAATGTGTATATATAAAATACTAGTCTGAATAAAAATGACTAGTCAAGCTGGAAAGTCGTATTCGTTTGATTTTACTTTGCCTAGGATTGTCTTAATGAGAAAAAAAAGAAAACATTTCATCATGTCTATAAAATAAGTGTTTCACTGTATGAACAAGATCCATCTTTCGCCGACTTTGAGAGCAGCTGGCGATCAACATTTTTGAAAACCCTGTATTTATTCTTGGGATTGTTCAAATAGTCCTAGCATTAATCATAATCATCCTTGAAATAGCATCATTAGCTATCTATAACTATTAACTGACAGGCGCTCGGCATCTGATGCTCCATTTCATTCATGATAGCGGCCATTTTAACTATCCTATTAGGTAAGTATATTTAAAAACAATATCTTTTAAAAAAAGCATAAGATATGAATTGATTGATATGATTTATTTCAGTATGGAAATAGAATCGATCAAGACTTTGGGCTACAGGAGTTTTTATTGCTCAAATATTTCTTCTTTTGTTCACATTCATTCTGATAGGTATTAACGGTAACTTCGTTTCATCGTACAGCATCGGTTACTCTATAATCAGTATCCCAGATCAAGACACACCGCAATCATATCAAAATTTTAAGACAAAGTATCAAATAATGCAAAGCTTACTTGGCATTAGCAATTCTTTTAATGTCCACTGGACTTACCTATCTAATTTTTTACATGACTGTCACCTATTTAGCTGTCTGGAAACCCGTTTAACATTCTTGATACATCTCATCTCTTCCGAAAATGAAATGATGTATAACATGTCATGAACTTCATGTTAAGATTATTTCAAATAAATATTTTGTTAATCACCAACTTTTTTTTACACGAAGACTTCGGTTCAGATGTGAGTGTGGATAGGCATAGATCTACAGGATACGAATGGTGTAGTTTTGAACCAAGACAAGACACACCCTCTCTTAACTCATTCTCTTGGAGTTTTTAAAGTGTTCTTATTGATGTAATTACAAGTCTGTGAGTTGTGTAGTGGGCAGATTACATAACCAAGCAGCAAAATCTTTTTTTTGATTTGAGCTCTCATTTATTGAATATTATGACATCCCATCAAGTTGCATAATATCTCATAAAATAGTCAATAAAATGTGTTACAAAGCCAATATTCTCTAATATGGTATAGATGTGATTCATTGTGTGTGTCATACTCTGCGTTGCAGTTTATCGTCATCGTTGGAATAAAGATGAGACAGAGGCCCATATCCTTTTAATAAAATATTATTTTAAGCGAGAATGCCACAAGATTGTCAAAACAACGCATGAATGGATAAAGAGAAAGCCGTCGCACACCTTCACTTCGTAAACGTAGTGTGTGAATGTGGACGTTACTCTTCTTGTTACGCATCCACATCCAATGCAGACGTTCAATATATTGTCTGGTTTTATCCAAGAAAAACACGACAACATTGATTTTACAATGACATTAGATCTTTCATTGATGACACATGTTCTATTACTCGGAGAACTTCGTAGCTTGATTTGAATAGGTGCGATTCGTCATACGTATAAAATCAATGAGAAGTAAATAATGTACATAGGATTGTTTTGTTCTCGACATTGAGTTACGACAACAAATCATTTGCTCAGTTAAGTATGCGTTGACAATGTTTTCTACTTCATTCACATGTGTAGTACGATATTAAACGCAAAATCGAAAGCAATAAGTTTGCTTTGATAAATACATTTCTGTTGAATGTCGCCCGATACAATCGTTTCATTTTGAGATGAAATTGAACAATGATTAAAAATATTGTAATAATTAGTGCCAAATAACTTTTTTTAATATTTATTCTTCTAAATTTCAGATTTTCTGAAGTTATCCTGAACATCTGCTGAATCTTGTGCTTCATCAGCGAAGAATTTCTGATCTGTTAGCTTTTGATCAACATATATGTATTTGATCCAGCGCTGAAACTGCGGTTAACGCCCATTGTCGTATTGATTACAAAGAATCCGTGTTTAGTCCTTATTTGTGTAAAACTTTATAATAAGATTAACAGAATAAAATGGCGAGATTACCGAGACTTTGCTTTTGATATATTCCAATTCTAATCTAATTTTCATAAGTTTTACTAAAAAAATATCGTCTGAATATCTTAAAAATAATATTTTTAGAGAGAACTCGACGAGCATTATCCAAACATGGCAAAAAAAAAATTTGCCTAATTTTCGAATAATTAGTATCTCACTTTTTTATTATTATTTTATATTTTTACCTTTTTTTTTTATTGTTTATATTAATAGTTTCCTTTTCTATACTTATGATATTATTATTTTTTTTAATTTATAATGCACCATTTTTGATGAAAGGTTTCTATTTATTCTTGAAACACTAGGGTTATTGAAGCATCTTTTTCTTTATTGTATTCAATAAAAATAGACAAAAATCGAAAAATCAAATTTTTTGTCATTATACTGAATTGTTGTTTCAAAAACAAAAAACGAAACTTGCTGAAATTTTTATCTTCTATTTTAAACTTTCAGTTTCTTCTTGTCTTCCGAATACTTCGAAATATTGTTTTATCGATTATTCAAATAAAATTTTCTAATAATGGTCAATAGATCAATGAATTTTACATAACTTTTACCGAATTATAAAAGAAAATATTCAAACTATTCAGAAACAAGGATTGGAATTTTCATACTATTTTCAGTTACACAAAAATAAAACTGAAACCACGTTCCATTGAAGAAATCATAGTTCTGTAGTAAAACGATAGTTCATTAACTTGATATGAATCAATAATAATCTTTAGCTCTTTGAGGAAAGAAGCTTGCTGATTCATTGGATCAGTTAGAAAAATCAAAAAAAAAATAATTGTAACAAGTTTTCTATTTAATTATTTTCATCGAAAATAAAAATTTATGAACAATCATGATAAAAATAAAATATTTGGTTAATTTTGAATTTACTGCTTAAAACTAAATTGTCATCATATGAGTTATATATCAAATTATTAATTGCTATAGTCACATGAATAGTTCAAATATTAGTTTGTCTATTTGTCTTTAATTATTTTTCAATAGAAGATTGGTGTGAAGTGTATGAATGGATAGGCTATGGTGATGTCATGGGTATGTAGTTTGAGTATAATTGTGAATGAAGATGTGTTTGCAGGAATGTGATTGTGATTGTGAGCGAGATAAGCATAAAGAGAAGTCCGAAATCTCATCTCATGCCCCGGTATATATATCGTACCGACATTCATACAGCATAATCTACTTTTACATACCATACAGATACTTACAGTCCTACATCCAACACTCTTAACAAAGTTGATATCGGATTTTGCCGACTAATCATATCTCACAAAAGACGATAGAATTCGGGATTAATTCAGGTACTTGGGTAGGAAATATCAGAACAATATGAAATCATTCTAGCAGTGATTTACAATAGAAATCTGAAAAGTTCAGAAGGAAACATGATTATCTACTTCTGCATTTTGTTCATATTTGAGATTGACAGAAAAAAATAAATAAATAAATAATCAAGTTGTAAAACTGTCCAAGTAATGTTACATAATGAAATTCTTTTGTATTATGCAGACTAAAATTCGAGTTTTTTTGTGACAGCTATTACATAGTATATGTGTCTCAAATTTTTGAATTCTGCACTTTGAAATATCTTCAATATTCTAGAACATCTAACGGATTTTGAATATTGGACAATATTCTCATGGCTTTTTCAAACCATCATAAATCATAATGTTTCGATATGAATTTTGAAACTATTTTATATTAAAACGAGTCCATAGGATTTCTGTGTTCTGAGGATATCATACGCAAGAAAGATCGCTTTTTCGTCCACTACTTTTGGATGATTTTCAATTTCAATACGATTTAGACTGTTTCCAGAAAACGAAAGAGATTCAATTGTTAAATAATGAAATCAGCTGATAAATAATGAAAGATACTATACATATTTTTTTTCTTTTTATAGTTTTCTTTTTTCTTGCTACTCGAAAACGTAACACGTGCACTAATTACTCATCCATTTTTTTCATCCTCTTCTGCTTCTAGCTAACGTATCGTATCGATTTTGCGGTAAGGAAACAAATTGTATTGATGGAAATCAATACGAAAGTAAACGAAGAGAACAACGATCACACATGATCAATATCACGATAGATTGTGAAGGAAAAAATAATATTTTATTTACCTTGAGCCTTCTCTTTACCTACTCTGTGTCTCTATTACGTTATTTTTCCTATATATATATCATAGAGTTATTTCAATGTCTTCGCGTGCTGTTATGATCGACAGGCTTCAATGATCACTGTTGCAAGTTTCATCTTTTGCGCGTTTTTTTCTTATATTTTGTTTTAACTCAATCGAAATAGAACGTACCGTTTCTCAACTATTTGATTTTTATCAAGGTTTACTCATTTTTCTTCTATATTATTGATAATCATCATAGTGTTGAGTTTTAGTACAATTTAAAAACCATAGATTTTTTCTAAGTATTTCACTGTGGCAAACTATTTGGTCACCTGGTACATTTTTCTTCAACAGTCTATTTGATAAATTCTATCAATTATTTATTGATAATAAGGTTTTCTTTTTTTATTCTCAAAATGAAAATATAGATTTAGACATATAGCTATGCTTTAATAATTTTATCAGGGTGAATTTTCAGGTATGAAATGGTCAAATTCAGCGTAGTTAATATCTTATACCAAGTTTTTTAGTGGTTTTCTTTTTTCGTCGTTTTACATTTTTAGAAACATTTTAGCTTATGACATCATCAATGGATACTAGTGAAGATTTAAACTTAGATAATGAAACAATATTTTCTGTACAATTTAAATCTTTATTCGATGATGATACCGCACGATATTCTTCGGACACTAGTGATGAAATTATTCATGCATTATCAAAACTTCATTGGCTACCTTCTCCATATCATTTATCACATCAAATTGTTTCATTAGTTTATGATCGATTGACTAAATTTGTAGAGAAACTTATTTTGACTGGTCATACATTATCGAATGATGAAATCATTCTAATGAACGAATGTCTTGATTTTATTACAAGAATATTTGAATCAGCGTATACAACATCTTTTGGTAATGAAGAAGAGGATAATGATACAAATGATGATATTAGTACTCCTGATGAGATAGTATTGAGTACACTAGAAAAATTATGTCAAGATATAGTTCCATTAAATGATTTATTTTTGAAATTAATTCAGTCCGCTGGTTGGAAAATAATGAAAAATCATTTAGAAATCATGAGTAAAATTGTTAGTTTTTTACTTAGACGTCATAAAATCAATATGATACAACTACAGTTTTCGAAAAATGTAGATTCATCATTAGAAAGATTTACTGAAGAAAATCAGCGTTTATTTGATACATTTGTTGAATGTATCAATTCATCGGATGGCACTTATGATTATTTAGAAGCTATAAATCAACTTGATTCAAAATTATTAGATGAACGTAGTAAATTTTTATTATTTGATAGTTTTAATTTTATTATAAGTAATGATCTTTATACGGAAGATTTTAGAACAAAATTTTGTCGTGATTTTTGGTTATTCAAATATAAACAAATACTAAAAGAAGTTTTACCAAACATAATAGAACAAATCAATAAAACTTCTTTACCATTGAATGCAATCAAATATTTAATAACAAATTTAATTCAAATGCAACGAAAAGCTGGAAGTAATTCTATGTTTTCGAAAGGACAAATAGAAAATTTTGCATTGAAAGATGAATATTTACCAATAATTATGATGTTATTGCCTTGGTTTTCTAATTCATACATTCTTAAAAACCTCATGGAAAGTAATGATGATCTTGAGGAAAAAATTTTTCAACTGAATAAAAATTATTTAAATAATACTAAAGATAATGTTACTATTGCATTCGTTACATGGACAATATTAAAGTTAATTCTAATGTTTATTAATGCAAATGGAGATTGTCTTGCTTATATTAAATATGATCAAAGTGTCAAAGAAATTTTATTAAAATTATTGAGTCAAATTAAAGAACGCACTTCAATAAAAGTATATATTTACAATATTTTGGGATTATTATTAAACGAAAAAGATATTCAAAATGAAACAAATATTACAAAAGAAATAATTATGACTTTAATAAGCTATATACGTAATATCCATGAAGAGATCACTGAAGATAACCTCTATTTAACAGACTTGTTGACTTTGTTGAGAACATTAAAAGGTATGTTTATTATATACGTAAGCAAATAACCCGTTGGTTACTGATTGTTTGTAATCATATGAAGATATGTGCATATATGCAAAATTAAGACTACAAACTTTTTCAAAAAACAATATAATTCAAATGAATAAAACAAAAATTCAAATTGCATTCTTTTTATCAATCGAATTTTTTGCTGTCATTGATTCCATATGAAAAATTTTGACAATGAACTTTGATTGAAATGATCCAATTTTGATCGTGTTTCTTGATAAAAATTGTTTAAAATGAGTAGATCTGAAACTAATCATCTTTTCAATGAAGCGGCAGCGCGAAAGTAATGTCAGAAAAATCAATATTATCACTCGATAATCCGATATTACATCAGTATCACAACCATGTGAATAGTAGTTCAATGATTATTTTCGATTATTTCATTTAAGAAAGTGTGAGACTATAGACTGTCCTCTCCGACATTTGGAATAGTTTGCTCCAAAGAAAAAAATCCATGGCAAGATACTTTATTTTGTTTGTACTTTTTTTACAGCATATCTGCAACATGATCAATTAAAAAGTGAATTCGTTCGACAACAAGGTTTAGGATTATTAATGGAGATAGCAATGAAAAAATCAAGATGGATAGATTTTGCTCTCGACATACAGGAGTATATGGGTGAAACAGTAGATATGGATGAATTATATAGTAGTAATGAATTACCAGAACAACTACAAAAAATGTATGGAGCTAATATAAAAGCGACAGAAGAAGGACAACAACTGGCATTAGAATGTTTTTTTACAATGTCATTTGATAAGGAAGCAGCACTCTTGTTAAAAAATAATGATCGCTTTATGATTTATATTCAGCGTTTGGCTCAGGGTAAAATTAAAACAATGAATCCTGGTCTAAAGATAGCAGCAGATCGTGTTCTTTGGAAATTGAAAACAGAAAGTGAATTTAAAAAAGAACAACAAGAAAAAACGTCAATCGATAAAAACGAATTTGATTTAATGATTAGCTACAGCTGGGGTGATAAACCATTAGTACGTCAAATCTACAAATATTTAACGGAAAATTATAATTATCGAGTATGTTTAGATGAAAATGAAACGACTGATTCTTTATGTCGATCTATGGCACAGGCCGTTGAGAAGTCAAGAGTTATTCTCATGTGTATATCTGAAACATATAAAAAAAGTGAAAATTGTCGTAATGAAGCTGAATATGCACGTGATAGAAAGAAGACAATTATTCCATTAAAAATGACACAAGTTGAATTGGATGATTGGCTTGGATTTATTGCTGCCGGCAAAATGTATATTGATTTTAGCAGATCAGATTTTGAAAAGAGTATAACATTACTGAAAGCTGAAATCGAACGAAATAAAATGGCTAAAAACGATACTAAACAAATCGTCGCTAAAGTTGAAACGTAGTGTATTCCCATCATATTACTTTTTTTGATAAAGAAATATTTCATGCCATGATCTATTCTAGAATAAATTCTTTTGGATTGCAAACTGTAGTTGCACCATTATCATCGACTTCGAATCTACTTGTTCGTCCGAATGTTATCCCTACGGACTATCAACAAATTCCTATGGAATTATGGTCTGAACAATATGTTCGGGATTTTATTTTTGATAAGAAATTGGATACAATGATTTTATTAACTGAAAATATGAATGGTAGTGAGCTCTATGAATTATGGGAATTATGTCAAATACCACAAGAGCGTTGGCCAATGTTTGATCGTTTGAGTAAAGAACTCGAACAAAGATATAAACAAACGTTGCCAATATCGGTCTATGTACGGTTTTTGCAACAAATATCAAAGCATTCAAATGTATCATCAGTTCTTTAAGTGCAAAGCACTATGTGTAGCTGACTTCTTAAATCTTATTAATATAACTATTTAAACTAATAAATAAATAGATACAGAAAAAACGTTCCATCTAGCGGACAGTATATACCTAGAAGAATATTTTACGAGAGATTATTTGTACTCACACTCCTGTCAAGACAGTCCTTGAAAAGTTATCTGAAGTATACGTATTAGAATTATAAATAATGCTAAAGCATTAGGCTTAACGGATAATGATAATACTAATTTTCATGTAACATTCTTAAAAGCACTCAAACAGACTCTTTACACTTTAATGCTTACTGACTTCGTCGTTTCAGGCACCAAGAAAAATGGGTGTGAGCCTTCTGTTCAACGTTGACACCCACAATCATGCCCACTCTTTGTATTTAATAACAGTTCGAGCAAACTATTTAAGATATTTGTAATCAGCATAAAAATTTTCGGCCATTACAAAAATATTCATTTCAACATGTAAAAATACGAAAGGAAGCATTGTTCTTGTTGCTGTCGAAAGGAGACAGAAATTATGGAATTTATTTCTTTCATAATGAACGTATAAATCGAGATAATGTAGCCAAGCAGGTGACTCATGTTTTTGTTCTATTTACCATTCTCGAACTAATGTCCGTTTCAAAATAGAAGGCAGATTGCCATTTTTCGAATAAATTTTGATAGGAAAAAGATAGAAAACTCCGGTCTTCACCATTCGAAAGAGTGATGTCCGGGCTATCGATTGATATAGAACTTATTAAGACGAAAGACGTGGTTTAATCTGCATCTTTGGATAAACACTTTTCCTTCGAGTATTTTCATCCGCTTTTACAATAGTAGCCAATAAAATTATGTCAAAGTGTACCTCAAATCACGCTTTTTTCGCTATAATATTGACATTCGTTTCATTATCTCTCAGACTCTTATTCTAAGTCGTTTAAAAAAACAAGTGACAATTTTGTAGAGAAAAAAGCGTGATTGAAGGTACATTTTGACATAATTTTATTGGCTAGTATTATAAAAATTGATGAAGATACTCGAAGAAAAAAGTGTTTATCCAAAGATGCCTACTAAACAACGTCTTTCGTCTTAATGAGTTCTATATCAATCGATAGCCCGAACATCGCTCTTTCGAATAGTGAAGACTAGAGCTCTCTATATTATTCCTATCAAAAATTTATTCGAAAAATGGCAACCTGCCTTTTATTTTGAATCGGACATTAGTTATTTTTAACAAAAAAACTTTGAAAAAAGTGTTTCGTATTCCTGGAAGGTGGAGAGGATTCGGGAGTCGAAAATCCAAAGATGATTTCAAGAAAAATGGTTATGCTTGATTTGTAACCCACATGAACCTGATTACAAGTATATGAGTATTTCTGAAAAATATTTTAGCGAGAAAAGTGGCCTTATTAGCAGTTGTTCTTTTGAGCAAAGTGTGTCAAAATCATCCATATCTTCTACTTTTGAAAATACCAACATATAAACTATCAAAATGCTATTGAGGTCTACCTAGAAGATAACTTGTATTTTTTGAAATTCTTTATCTCAACCCTGAAAATGTTCGTGTTTGTCAGAACTATAACGAAAGCGATTCCATACTGATCTATAAAATTCTGTTATTTTCTTGTGTAAACGCTAGTTTGTATAAAAATTGAGCATTTTTATCGACATGTATTTATTTATCTCTTGTTAAAATGAAATTGGTTCACTAGAACAATAGTTTATTGTCTTGAAAAATGTGTTTACTTGTTCAAGTTTACTCTTATTTGCGTTCATGTGCATCCTTACCTTGAAGAAACTCGTCTCAAAAAGACATGTATTCATATTCAGATCTGATTTCAGGAATAAATATTCCAGATCTAAATTAACTTTTTTTTATTTTTCATTTAAATGCACTGATAATAAACTATCAAGCGTATCTTTGTAGATGATACACTCAAGTGACATACTCATCATTTCGCCATTCACCTTCTTGTATTTGTCCATTAGCAAAAATTACTTTTCCATAACCGTGTTTTTTCCCATTGGCAAACTCTCCTTGGTAATAAGTACCATTACTCCAAATCAGCAATCCTTTTCCATTTGTTTCATCATTATACCATTCACCCATGTATCTATCCCGATCAGTATAAAAGTAAATCCCATATGCATGTTTTTTATCATCCATGAAATTACCTTCATATCGAGTATTATCTGGCCAAATTCGTATACCTAGTCCATGTGCTTTGTCATCAACTATATTTCCTATATATTTATTTCCATGTTCATCATCATAAGCACGATACCAACGTTCTTTGCCCATCGTATCCTTCCATTCATACAATCCACCGGTTGACTGTATTATTAGACTTTGACTTTTTGGTAAATCATCAATCCAGTCACAAGCTTGTATTATTCCATTCTCGCCAAGAAGAATACCATGACCATGTCTATTACCATTTTCGTAGGTTCCAATAAAACGGTTGCCAGTTTCAAAAACACATATTCCTTCTCCATTTGCCTTTTGATCAGCATTTGGACCCGTAAATATGTTTCCGTCAATAGTACAAAACTTTCCGTAACCATGCTTCTTATTATTTTGGTAAACTATTTCATATCTATCACCATTATAAAATGTAACTACTGCATAAATCATATTTTCCTTTGATTTTGTTTCGTCTGAAAAGGATTTAATATTCATCATTTCTGTGATTATTTTCTAGTCATGCGTACTTAAGAGTACTTCGTTTTTTATCTCATTAGTCGATATTACAGATGTTGTTTGCGAATGCTGACCGTTGTCTATATCAAAGTTATTATATTAGATATGAAAATAATTAAATTAATTAGAAATTCACTTATAACTTCCTCATTAAGAGAGTTGTTCATATCATGCCGTTCAACATTGTTGATGACTTCGTTGATTTCTTCTAAATATATGATCGGTTTATCTTGTTCATTATTCAATTGTTTGCATTTCACACGCAAACGTGTACCTGGAAGCAATAGTACTTCATCCTCATCGTTTTTAGATGTATAACCCTGAATATTCTTGCCACTGAATGATTTAATTGAACAAAGAACTGATTTATCATCAAGAAGATGTTCTATCATAGTACTTGATAATGAACATGAAATTACACTACATAATATCAAATCTTCATTTTCATTTAATTTTTCTGCAATGTTAATTGTTAAACCTCGCCATATTGTATTATGAATAGGTGATAATTTTTCCAGTGCTTTATAGAATAATTTCAGAAAATTTAGCCAAGGTTTTAAAGCTGCTTGATCTTCTGATTGTAATGTACTGTTCAAAATCCGATTTAAACTTTGATCATTCCAGTCATTTGTGTAGAGGTATAGAGCGACTGATTCATCTTCAGTGAGACCATGATCCGAAGGGTAATGACGAAAGTGTTTAGCATCTTTAATGTAATAATCCAATCGGTCAACGATAGACGAAACAGATTGAAGAGCTAAGTCTATAGACAAAAGTGATTCATCTTTCCAATCATCTATAGGTTGTATTTTTTTATCATTATATTCAAAACGAATAAATCGATTCATATTGTTGTTTAATATCTTACTACAATAATAATAATCACAATGTCTTCCTCGCGTTGTTATATTGTTGCTTCACTATAATAATATAAAAGAGTTGTTCTACCACCTTTCGAAGGTCTTTGCAAATAACATACGATAAGAGAAAACAAGTTCTTTCTTTCTAAAAAAAAAAGTCACAGATATGATAAATATTTTCTTTTCTCTTTAAGAACAAAGCACATGTATTTGTTTCTAGTTCTTTTGTTCTTCACTAATGATACACACAAATAAGGCAAAAGATCTACTCTTTAATCAATGAAGTCTGAAAATTATATTATTGAAAACTATTTCCGATTTGCTTGTTGTGTGAAAAAATAAAAATTGTGTAGCTTAGCAAGATGATTTTTGTAGGATTATGAAATTGTGCATTTCTTAGCCATTTCAATCAATGACGAATCATTGATGCTAACAATCGATATCCATTCTTGAGATTTCTTTTAATTTTTATAGTTAAATAAAAGAAACAGTAAAAGTTCATAAAAACATTTACGTTTCGTTATATTACTATGAATAAAACTATCAAGATAGATATTTATCTTTCTCATATATTATTATTTTTATTATTATTATACTAAAATAAAATCTTGAGTGTTATTATCATATATAATTATTTGATGAATTTTTATTAATGTTTTTGATTATATTATGATAATTGCAATTTAATTTATAGATTTAATTTCAGGTTTATAATGTTATATATTAGTTAATGTTGTTATTTGTTTATATTTGTCCAATTATTCACATATTTATTTTGATGTAATACTCATGTCTTGTTACTCCTTGTTGTAACATCAAGTGTTGATTTATTGGTTGATAATGAGCGTGTAGTGATCGAAAATTCCCATTTATACTCATTTTCTTTCATTAATAAAACTCTATATATATATCTTGTATTGATAGTGTAGTGTTCGTTCCCTTACCTGCTACTGGATAACTACAAACGTAAGAGGATAGGTGTGGATATCGGGAGGGGTAGTGTGCGTGTTGATTCTTATTTAACACTCATACCTACACATCACATGCACTTCACATCCCACAAACAGATCTATACCCCACATCCACATACATCCTAATAGAAGGTCAGTCAACAGTTTTAGCAATACAGAAAAGCATCAGAATGACGGGAACATAGTTATACTCACATAGGATTATTCAATGCGGTCTGGCAAAAGCCATAATCCCACCAATCAATATATCTAGGTCAGGGCGGACAGCACTCGATACCGCGTAAATGTATCGCAAGGAAGTTAAGAAGCTGCTGCAGACTGCTCATTTATTCAACTAAGCGCGCTAGTAGAGGAGTATGTTGTAGGAGAATGCTTCTGACTTAAATCAATATTCTTGGACTCACAGTCGGATACGTAAGAATAGAAAAAGAGAGCCGAAGGCGAATCATCAAAATATTTTCACGACGTGTAAAAGCTTCAGACGACTGATAAATGGGGTTTACTGAGAGTGTGCGTGTGAGAAGAAGACTGATACCTATAACAATACCCACTCCCGCTGCATGGTGACCTACAGCTCCCATATCAATGAACTGATAGAAGATCCACATCTAAGCCATGGGTATGGCTGTAGGGAATAGATTTGGTTTATTCTTACCACCCAATCCCTCTATATATATCCTCAGCTGACACTCATACACTCTTGCAGTTCACGTCATAGAGAGGTAAATTTTGCTTTTTTAGTCTCTTCGAAACAAAAATTCTTTTACGGCTGTGAACCTTTTCCTTGGTAACATATATTTACCGTATGCTTACTAGCTTGAATGTTTTATCTTTGATAAGTGTAATCATTCTCAACATGTTTCGTACTTGAAAGTATCCATATAAAATCATAAAAGAGAAAAAAAGGTAGATAAGAAAAGTAAATTGTTGCTATCAATCACAACTAACAAGAGAATCATTCGAAAAAAACCACACAGATACTGTGGTAAGTTATTTCTTCGGATAGTTCGAAAAGGAAATCTAAGTATTATCAGACGTTTATTTGCTTTAAATATTTTTGCATTTTAAAATAATTTGATAAATTGATGATAGAAATGATTTTCGTATAATTACCGATTTTATGAAAATATTTTTTAGCAATGAATGTTTCCAGCATTTGACTTGATTTCTGAAAATCTTATTCTATGATAAGATAGGTCAACTATAGATGTATTTACTCTCAATACTTGAACCTTAGCAAAGTGAACTTTCGTTCATGTCCAACTAGTTATTCAATTGATCGTTCTAATCATGTATATGGTTTTTATTTTTGTAGTTTGTGTTTGTCCTAAAAATACACTACCGTATTTTCGATTAACTGAATTCATATTATTGGAAAATCATACTGGATTTGTTATTGATGATATTAAATCTATTCTTAATTATATGCCTGCTCTAACTAAATCAACATTAAGTATTCGCGATATACATGATCTAATATTTTGTCAAGGTCCTAAATTAGAATCCATATTAAATGAATATTTACCACATCTTTGTCATTTTAATTATACAATGACGCATAGAATTAATGATTCGAAATCAATTGAAAATTTTATTCAATAGCCAATGAATATTGTGTTTTATAAGAATGAAAATTTAAAATGGATTCATATCTATTCATTATACCAATTGAAAAAAACATTTTCGTCGAGTTTGTCAAATAACAACTTGTTTATCTATTGATATAAAATTACCATCACGTATATCTAAAGTAATTCTCACAAAACAAACTCGTAAGATTTTCTTTTTTTTGTATCAGATCTAATATACTAAAAACAAATCGATTTTGATTAATTTGTTTTAGATATTACTTCAATAAGTTCGATAGTTCAATCTTCAATTAGTCATCTAACTGTTGAACATTGTCTAAATAATTCGAAAAATCTTTAAATATTCGATGTTTTCAAACATTATTTAGTGTTGATGATAATATTAATAGAAATCGTCGTTTTTGGCCTCAATTAATAAATTTTTCGACTAATTTCAATCATAAATCAAAATTTATTATAGATGATGATGATGTTCAACATTGGTTAAATCAAAATACAGACATGAAATTTGTTATATCTCCATTTTATGCTGATTGTTTTAATTCAATTTTTTATATTTGATTTTGATATTTTAACTTTATAAACAAAAAGAACTTGTTTATTGTTGTTATATTAAAGCAAAGGAATAGATTACTAGTAGTGTCAAACATGAAAATCGAACTTAATTATTGAAGATCTTGATTGTGAGTGTGAGTATTTTACTCTTCAAATTGACATCAACATCCACAGTCATATTCTAGCCAACTCACAAGATAGTTTTAAACTGAAATAATTCAGGATATTCTACTGATCATAAGTTCTCTCTATGGATGTATCTTTATAACTGTATATTTTTTATGTAAATCTTGCCTGAGACAGAAAATACAGTAAAACGGTCATAATTCAAGAACAACACCGTATGCGGAAGAACTAGAGTGTGAATGTGTTTGTAGATAGGTGTGGGTCTGGGCCTTCTTTTCATACTCACTCGTTTACAATACATAAACTGTATCAATTAACATAAGAAAATGATTGCCAAAAGAATATATCAAATATAGACTGTTGTCGAGAGTAGAAACTACAAATAACTCTTTATATAAATCTTCAACTTTTATCGAAGAGTGAATTCATGGAAAACATATCATTTTCTGAAATAAAAGAAACCCTATAGAGAACGTGGGGTGTGGGTGCGCATGAAGCTTAAAAAGGACCCACAGCTACACCCGCCCATACTCACACTCTGAAGCAAAACTATAGTCACTGTTTCTTTCTATAGATCATGCATTATTAATAAGTGTTCCATATTATATTTATTTATCCACATTTGGTACGTCATTTAATAATTGATCCTCATTTCTTTCAATACGAAGTTTTGATTGATCTAGCGTTGCATTAAAACCTTTTTTCCAGTGAACTTTTTCAAAGACGAAATTACGATTAACACCTGCCCGTTTTGATAAACGAAATATAATAACATCACAAACAAATGTCGCTATACCAAATATTCCAATTAATGAACCAATATTTAAAGTTAACGTAATAAAGTTAAATTTTCCAGCATTACCACTAGTACTAATTATAAAACGAAGACCATAAGCCTTTGTTAATGTACGAAAATGTTCGTCGTTTTGTTTCCATGTTGAAGTATAACGAAAATTATAACCAATTGAAAATGGTTTTTCACGAAATGGTGCATCAAGACGAGTAAATGTGTATTCAGGTTTACATAATTTTACACTTCGATCCAAATTACAATCCCAATGAAGTTTAATATTTACGACTCCACCATAGCGTAACATTAAATCACGTTCAATACTGTCATCTTCAGCTTGATTTAGTATATAATCAATAGTAAATATTGGACAATCTTTATTATAAATTGGATCAAAAATGCATGGCTTCAAATTATCAACCATGTTTTTATTTTTAACTCCAAATAAAGGAAATTCAATAAAAGTTTTTATAAATAATGTAAAGTTAAGAACTCCTTGAACAAGCATTGGCGATGACTCAGTATCTTCTGGTGGACACCAACCTGAACAAAAAGATCTCGTAATAGTAAAAAAAAAGTAATTTACGAGTTTTTTTAATCAAAAACAAAACTTTATTAACAATCTTTCAATCATTCAATACTTTCTTATGAATAAATATTCCCTAGTCAAGTGACTTAATCATTAGAGAAAAGTTTTGTCAATAATTCAGACAATGGCAAAGACTGTCCTTGCTTTTTCTTTATAATTGATTGTTGTGATTCGAATTTTAGCAGCAAACTTAATATTTCTAGAACGTGATACTTGACAGTTCAACAAAAGTACAAAAAGATTATAACTAAGTAATAGTGTACATTTTGTTTAAATATTTATATTTTTTCTAATAAAAGATCGACGTCACAATATTTTTGATTCTTCAAATTAATATTCAATTAATCATATAAATATTTAAATCTAAGACGATCAAAAAGCGTCATGAAATTTTTCAGATGTTATTCCGCAATGCGAAAACTTCGTAGACTTCCTAACTCGAACTAAGTTTACTTTATCGATCATTACAAATAGAGTATATATCTATGAATATCTGTACTACTTACGAGGGAACATTCCCAAGTATCACATTGCTTTTGAGTTCAGACTCTATGCATAAGGTAGACCCCAGTGAGATATGAAAAACCTCAGAAGAATAAGTGCCCTTAGGCCTTCTGTCTAGAGTTATAGGCATTTTACTGGAATTTTAGCCTTTGGCATGGTATATATCGACAAATAGAATGACGGTATTTCGACCTGAGATTTTGCCTACAGATAGATCTTTTTGTGAGTAGAATGCCCTGAAAATTTCAGCTCAAACGAATGTTTTATTGCTGAGATAATAAAGTCCCAAAAAACAGTAAATTCTAGCATCTTTCGTGGGATATGATTGATTTTTGGGACTTTAATATCTCAGCAATAAAACATTCATTTGAGCTGAAATTTTCCGGGTATTCTACTCGCAAATAGATCTATCTGTAGGCAAAATCTCAGGTCGAAATAACGTCATTCTATTTGTCGATATATACCATGCCAAAAGGCTAAAATTCCAGTAAAATGCCTATAACTCTAGACAGAAGGCCTAAGGACACTTATTCTTCTGGGATTTTTCATATCTCACTGGGATCTACCTTATGCATAGAGTCTAAACTCAAAAGCGATGTGATACTTAGGAATGTTCCCTCGTCAGTATCTATCGTCATTAAAATTCGGTGCTTAGAACTACAGATTATTTCAACCATTTATAGAAATAAGAATCCTACTGTAAGGTTAATGTGATGAAGTTGGAAGCTGATTGAAATTACTGTCCATGTTTATAACTTCCAAACATTTTTTCTTTGAGTTTTCGACTATGCAGCATGGAAATTTGTTTCTCCTAGAATAAAGATAATGGCAGAGGGCATTCAAAGATCGCACACTAATAATGACGCGAGATTTCACTACAAACTCCATCGGAGCATTTTGTTTCTTTCAATGTATCAGATTCCGAAATGCATACTAATTACGTCTTATTTTTGATATATCTATAACCTAATTTTGTTTTTGTTGCATTTCCAGAAAATTAAGTGGAAGGATAAGTAAACAGAAATATATCTGAAAAAGACTAGAGTAAAACAAGCTCTATATATTAAGCAATAACAGTCACATGGTTTTACGTCTTTCACTCTAATTGGAATTGCGCTAACAAGTTTTCAACTAGTTTTTGTTTTTGTTTTTAATAGCATCTTCTTTTATTCATGAAAAAAGAATTCTTCTTAAATTCTGCTATCTACACAAAAAGTCTACCTGCATATTCACATACACCCTTTGGATTCTTTATGGCAGTTCTTGTCTGATTGACGATATTTGTCTCTGGTGTAAATAAACATCGACCTGTCCACCGTCCATTCATCGTTGGTATAAATGGTTGATTTGAACATATGCTGTCACTTGTACATATTGCTTGTTCCAGTTTTATATTTTCAGAACATGTCGATCGTCTTTGATTCGTTTGAACAAAATTGGTCATGACAAATATAGCATTGTTTTCCGATGGTGGAACAACGTAATCTATTAAAATATAACAAGTAATTCGCCTTTCAATAAGATTCTTGGTTTCTCATCATACCTGCGACATCCAAAATAATAGTCTTATTTTGTGGCATATCAACTTGACCAATACCTTTGAGTTTAAGTGTGACTGATGATATCACTGTTGTGTCATGTTTTTGATAACCTTTTTGGTATATAAGCATATATAATGTAGAATATGCAATAATAACTATTTGAATACTGCGAAGTAAAGCAGTATATTGTACACTATGTATTAATACAAATTTTGGTGTTTTATATTCAGTGAAATAACTCTTCAAAGCAAATTTCAAATTTTCACCAAAAGGAGGATTACCTTTCGCCGATAAATTGGAACTCATGTTTTCTTAATAAAATGTTTTATTTATTCTAAAATAACAATAATAATAATGTTCAATGATTTTTACAGGATACACAATCCCATATATTGAATATATCGTTTTTTATGTTTTCTCATAATAACTCTGCTATTTCTCTTGCAATAATAAAATTCATTATAAGATATATTTTCGTATTGATATGGGCAGAAATATGCGCGTCTAAATGAACTATGACATATTCTAAGTGTATTAAAAAGAGGATGGCTATTAATGTGATCGAAAAAAAAAACGATAGATGAATATCAATTTATTATAATAACCTTGTATATAAGAGAATTTTGTTAGCGAAACTCCAGTGAAATTAAAATGTAAAACACGATGTAGCTGTTTTCGCTTATTTCATTAAAGTGACTTTTTTCCATCGATTATCGAGCATATTTCTTCATTATTTTTATTTTTCAGAGTGTTGAACAGCTCCAATAGTGAAGCAGTTGATACACTGAAAGAATGTAGTAGGTTGAAATTTGTATCTTATATATTTCAAAACTCCTTCTGGACTGTATTTCATAAAAACAAAATCTAATAACTACGAAATATTTGATAGTGACATTCACTATTGACAACGCACACGATCTATTCATTTAGAGAATTGTATTTTTAGAAAAATTCAATGTGGAGTTTCTCGTTATTTTGTCATAAAATCACACAGGATAAAAATACCAATCCATTGTCTTCAACAAAGTCTTTTGGTTGATTTTTGTTCAGGGACAGACATTTTCAATAATCGATATAGAAAGAATAAAATATATGAAAAAGGATGTTTCTGAAAGTATTTGTCAAGAAAGAATTTGTATTTCTTGAAGATATAGTAATCAGGCAACTGACTCTTTCAATCACTACAGGGCAACAGTTTCAATTTTTTATTCATTCGAAAGAGGCTGACTAATACAATTGAAAGCTATTAAGCTTCAGTTTCCCATCAAAAAGTTACTTTTTGTCAAAAACATCGAAATTGAGATAAATCCATAGAGAAATAGCTCGTCATCTACTCTTTCATAAACGAAGAAAATTTTATTCGGCTCCTATTTTTTCCAAAAATTTTCGTCATCTCTTATTCGAAAAACAAGCTGTTTTTACAAAAAAATCGGAAATCATTTTTTTCTTTTTTCTCAGAATGTGGGCTCAACAACGTATCTCCAGCGTCATTCTATTACAGTAAGTGATAATGTCAAATATTAGTTTTTTGAAAGCTCGTGTTCATAGCTAGCGACTCTTGTTGCCTTTTTAAAAAAGGGCTTAAAGAAAGAAAAAATACTATTATTTTCCTCAAAATTTCGTTATTTTCTACGAACTATGACCTCACACATGGATAAACAAGTAAGAAATAGAAGAAAATAAACAAAAGGGCAACAAGAGTCAGTAGACCTAAAAACTCTCTTTATAATAAAAAAAAAATCGGTTCTATCTCTTAAAGTAGTTAAATGGTCTTAGAGATATTGAAGAGATAAAAATGGCTACTAAAATTGATCTAGCTCCCGCTTAGAAAACGATTTAGGACTGAAATCTTTTTGTTGCATGACTATCTATCTCCAATATGTGCAGAAAGTTTCAGATCAATAGCACGTTCCAGTTCGGAGATTCTATTTTGAGAAGACGAAACCTTAATTGGACTTTCAAAAAAATGTATACCTTGATCTGTCTAAGTCTGAAGATTTCGCAAATGTTAATTTCTAACTAAAGATTTTTTTTTAGTTACTCTTTCAGACGTTCTGTTTGGGTTTCTATTTATTTTTTGTTTCAAACTATTGAAAATCGTTATTTTCATACGAGTACCTGCCTGAAACTGAAACCGAATCTAATTGATACCTAGTAGAACTGATTCGAATCTAAATGAAATTTTTCTCATTCATTTTGCTCTTTGTTATCTACGATAACAACATTAGTGAAGGTTAAATATTTGATGAAAATATTCTATCGCACTATGAAGTATTCCGAAATTATTGTGTTGGGTGATCTCTTACTGCTAGGTACTTTTTTAGTTCAAATTAAGCGTTTCGGATTTCTATCTGTACGACTTTTTTTTTGGATCTGAGAAAAAATCTTTATTTTTATATTTCAAACAAAGATGATAACTATAAAAACCATTCGTTAACGTCTTTCACTGGATTAACAATTGTTGTTCTCCTTTGTCACCGAAAACGAATTGCTGAAAACCACGATGAAGATAATTTAATCTTGTTTTTTCTGGTTATCACTTGGACACTCTACATATTATGTGTGAAAAATTTTGTATTCCATTTAGACAAAAGGCTTATCTACCACAACCAACACATTTATTTTCACTCTGTAAGGATCAAGTCTGATGTCAGTCATTTTTATCACTTACCATTATGATTGGTGAACCTTTCTTGAAAATGTTTTGATATCAAAACGGAATCGGAAAAAAACTATTTGAATACTTTAAATACTAATCGACTTTTTCAATTTGATGGACATATGTTGCTAAAAGTAAATAACTTTAGACAGATTAAACTATTCGAAATTCTCAATTTATAGTATTTATGAATGATTATAAAGTAATTAACTTCAAAATCTTAATTATTCTACTACGATTTTTCAGTATTTTTGTTCTAGTAGCTAAATGCCAAAATAATGATCTGAAGACTATCTGTCTGATTTGTATGAAAATAATGCTAGGAATACGTCACTAGAACGACTATATTCTTTTATTTATGCTTGATGAAAGAAAATCTGAAAAAGTATATAGTAGTTGTAACAGGAAATAGTATCTTTAGTGTTAAACTGTGTCTACAGATCAAAATGTTAACTTTAACCAAAGAGAAATGCTTCCAGTGGTTGAAAGAAAACAATGAAAACTTAATTCTCCGCATCTTAGAAGACGAGCTTAAGTTATATACATATATTACTCTCAGACTCTTTTCTGTAAACAAAAATTTGATAGTCTTTGCTTATCGACTTTGGACACACATTTCTTGATGTATACTCGAAAAATTACCTATGCCTTCATAAACGTCAAAGTATACATAATAAAAACTAAAGCTGATTAGTGGAGCCTCTTGGGAGCTGAAATTTTAAATTCACATATTTCTCTTAAGCTATGATACCTAACTGCTAGTAGTATTCTGAAATGGTAAAAATTAGTGAATGGGTTGACTATTTTTCGAAAATTTGAAGAAAACTTTCAAAATTTCTAAAAGAAGTCGTAAACTAGAACGAAAAAAAAATTTTTTGAATATTCTAGAAGATGAAGAAATCAAGGCCTTCCTTCTGTACTGCTTGGAATCTCTCTGCTAGTCACATATTACAAACTCATTGGTAAGGTCTGTAGTCCTGGATGGGAAAGGGAAGATGCCGAAACTCGAACTGAAAATGTACACTTAATATTGTCTTCGAAAATATATGAGAGTTTCACAAAAGTTGTACGAAACTTTTGTTATGTACTGTATGCCTATGACAAGAAAAATCTAAGGTTAACTGGTAAGGTGTAGTTGATCCTGATACAGGAAAGAAAAGCCTCAATCAAGAAACGACCAGCATTGTTGCAAAAAAGAAAAGCGTATCTAGCACAATTATAACATACGTTTTAAATCACAAGAAACAATTATGTAAAACATGCTTCAAAAATTAGGAAACTTCTTCTATGTTCGTAGCTCCTTCGTAAACTACTAATCATTCCATAATTCTCAAGAGTGAAAACAGGGTCAAACTAAATTCATTATTATGTTATTCATCATAGTACCGAACTTTGATAGGAATAGATATATTTGAATATAGATAGACTAAATACAAGTAATATATTCTTAGTTACCGTGAAATAATATTTGAAAACGATCGAAGTAGAAAAAGAATCAGTAAATATACTAACTGTATATTCAAATGAATGACAAAAGACTAAAATTTATATGATAAAAAAAATGTATTTGTCATTCACTTTTGTTATAGTGATCATTCATCCATAGATTTCTATTCTTTTACTTTAGTATACAAACGAAATGACAAATAGAAGAAAAACGTAAGCAATACTTTTTCTCGTCTTACACATAAAATAATCACTGAATTAATACATAGAAAGAAAATAAAAATAAAAAATACATTCATATACTGTCTTAGACTAACGAAACACGTGTAGGTGAATAAATACGAGAAGATATGTAAATAGGTGTTTGGTTTTTTCTCCTTCATGTACACATGGCTTCTTGATATTTGCAAACGTATGAAGAGAGTATGAGCGACATAAGTAGAGATAATCTTAAGGGTAAGAGTCAGAGGTTTCTTGGTGTTTAAATTCAGAAAGTCATCAATTAGGTTTTTTAGATACAATAAGGTACAACTAATGTTGAATTGCTATTTCTCAATAATATGTTAGTTTTTCTTTTTTTTGTCTTGTTTTTGAAATTTATTTTTTATTTTATTGATAGGAAATGCTAAAATGATAAGAATACAGAAATCGAGCAAAAAGTAATCATTTAAATCTTAACGAAATAATTTTAATTAGAGATTTTTTAAATTAATCATTATCAAGTGATTTTCAAAAAAATTAACTCAGTTAGATGATGTATGACTGATACTTTCGCAAACGATGTACTAAATAAAATAATAGAGTATTAATTTACATATGAAAACTATTGAAAGTAAATCATAAGATATATTCTGAACAACTTCTCAAACAGTTATTAATATATAGAATTTATTACTACAAAAAATACGGATTGGTGAGCAATGTCAATTTACAGATACAAAACAATCAAACTTGACAAAATGTATTGCAACTAGATATATTAAATCTTGTCAATAACGCATACGTTAATGAATATTATGTCAATTTTTTCCATTATATGCTTATTATTAGATATTAAAAAGAAGACAAGTAATAAAAGTTTCGTATAATGTGACATTAAAATATAGTCTCAACTATTTGATTACAAATGAGAATTACTCATGAAATGCTGTTGATAGGAGCAGTCCAATCAACAGAACACTAATGTTTGTATTCCCTATTA